CACCAATACATCACCTACCTCTCCGAATACTCCCAACTCAAATCCTCCCTACTCGATATCCCTAAATCTCTCAGAATAAAACACTCCATGATCCCCTTTACCTCCGTCGCTTATTTCCCCGGAACTATTGTTAATACGAATTCGGTGCATATGCTGTTGGGTGATAATTGGTTTGTCGAGTGTTCGGCTCATAATGCCGTTGGAATTGTTGAACGAAGAATTGAATGTGAGTTTAATTTTGAGTAAATATATTTTTGTGGTTCATGAGCTGAGTGTTTGGTTTGATAAATGTCTTGTCTTATCTATATCAAAGATGTGAAACAGTTTATTTCGAAAATCGAGTCGCAATTGGAGAGTTTACGCGGTCGTTCCGAAGTATTGAAATCTGGGAACCTGATTGAACAAAAAGAGGTCTCATTCATGTTTTTCCAAACTAAACATCCTTTTAATCTCACAGTTTTGTGTACAGTTGAATGAAGACGGTGAACCATTTTTCGAAATTCGCGAAGAAGTTGGTGCAGATGAAAGTATTCCTAAAACTCCCGTTGAATCTACATCTCGGAGCTCAAGAAGTACGGCGGTAGGTTGGTAAACTACTTTTATTGCATTTCATAAATCTCTATACTCAAAACCCCTTATTCAGCTGAAACAGTACGAGAGAAACCCGTCGAGTCGATGAATCAAATATTCGATCAAAGAATGTTACAATTAATGTCAGATTTAGAAAAAGAAGAAGAGTCGGAATCTTTACACGGAATCACCACCACCAACGATGAATCTTCAGATGACGAAGACGACGATGATTCAGACGAACAAAGTGAAGACTTGAATAATGAAAGTGACGAGATTGACGACGACCACGAGCAAAAACCTTCTTTGACTATGGACCATAACCATATCTTGAAACAAGCCCAAGAATACGTACTCAATTCAAAAACCGAGACGAAACCAACAACACGTACCAAACCTAAAAAACGCGTTAGCTTCCACCTCCCTGAAGAAGAACAAACAACCAATACACCCAGTAAACCCACTGAACCAACCACGAACCCTTCACCACTTTCAATTCCGAAAATCAATTCACCGGCGGATATTTACGCACACATGGCACGACTGGCATCTCAATCCTTAATCCCACACCAACCCGACACTGTCAACACCATCGAACCGCAACTAAATTCAAACCCGGACAAATACCAAAAACAAGCACCCACCAAAGTTTCAGAACAAGTGATGACCCTCCACGTCCACGAAAAACCAATCCCGGTTGGAGACTCGGGTGAAACATACGAAAGCGAATCTGAAGTTGACGAGTATTTGTTGAACCAACATATTGTAAACGAGTATGTCAAGATTAAAGGGAAGTTGGCTGTTAATGCTAATGTGAAATCAATTTCGGAATTGGATGCTCAGAAAGGTGATGGGGATCATGGGGATCATGTGGATGGGAGTTTTTATGATGATGATGAGGATGAGGAGGGTGGGGATAGTGTTTCAAAGTTTATGAAAGTTATTTCGGGACGGGATAAGAGGAGAGAAAAGTCTGAGTTTATGGATGTTGGTGTGTATGTTCCACCTCGACCGAAACGTATGTGTATAATAATTGCAAAAGATAAGATTTGAATTGATTGTGAATGGTTTTTTTTTTTAGATGATTCGACGTTGATTAAAGGCCGTGATTTTGTCGATGAAGAAGTTGTACCGTTACCTGATGAAACTGAATCTGACGATACGCAATCAACTATCCAACCCGACGCTCCACAGAAACTTTCCAAATTCAAACAATCGCAGGAACAGAAAAAATCGAACGGTGCTGTACAATGGACGGATCAAAATATCAAAAAGACCGAAAACCCACGGTTGTCAAAGTTAAAACAAGACTCAATCAACAAGAAATCACAGTCATGGGAAACGAAGAATACGAATACTGACTCACAAATTGAAGTTCCATCGATGCAGTCAATACCTCTCGATCCACCTGTAGTGCAAGCAACGACGATGAAAGTTAATTCGAATGATCCACCTTCTCGTTTTGAGAATGACACGCAACAACCGAAAAAAGTATCAAAGTTTAAACAAGATTCGATAAATAGGAAATCACAAACGACGGCTTTAAAAGATGAAGTTGAGAATCCACCCACACGATCAATCGCTCTTAATCCGCCTGTAGTGCAACCAACGACGACGAAACTTAATTCGAATGATACATACTCACCACTCGAAAATGACACCCAACAACCGAAAATAGTATCAAAGTTTAAACAAGATTCGATAAATAGGAAATCGCAAACATCGAATTTGGAGTCAGATCCGCGATTTTGTACAGAGTTTGTGACTCACAATCCACCCTCGCTTCAACCAACGAGAACAACAGAGATGGATTTGAATGGTGTAGGGATACAATCTGATGAAGTACAGCAACCGGTGAAGAAAGTATCTAAATTCAAAGCGGCAATGATGGCGAAAAAAAAATGATATGAAAAACATGGACACTGTGGAATTTTTTTTGCGAGTGATTAGAATTAATGCTTTTTTGATGGATTTGCATGTGTTTTTTCAGTATTTTATATGATTAAACGGCGAAAATCCCCAAATTCAGCAAGTTTCAAATTAGAGTAATTTAAGTTATGTAACAACAAACGGAAATGAAAATTTGCATGCCCGTTTAGCTCATATGGTTAGAGCGCTTGCCTAGTAAGCAAGAGGTGTTGAGTTCGATTCTCAAAATGGGCACAATTTTATTTCATTTTTCTGAATTTGTGAGTTTTGATGATTATTACTTTTTTTTAACTAAATTACTACTTAAGGAAATTTATTATTTTGAAAAAAAAATTAAATTATGCACTGCGGATTCTACGCGACTCTTGTTCGGACGAATTATCTAGCGAGGCCTTTCTGGTTAATATAGGTGCTGGTTTTAGTGGTTGCGATGTGTTGTCTTTTTAAAAGGAAAAGAGAATAAAAGGTTAACACACAGATCATATTTACGATAATTTTTTTTTTCAACAAAAAAGATCATGATTTTTGAATACAAAAGCGGGAAACAAAAAAAGGAAGAGATATAGGAGGAAAAAAAACATTTCGAGAGCGTTTCAGGGTGTTGGTGATTATTTTTCTTTTTAAGGAAAGAACAGTGTGAGATGATTTTTGAAATAATAAACGGAAAAAAGTCGAAAAAATTGAAAATTGAATTGATCACTTACTTCCAAAAGTAAAACCACTGGTAGTACCGGTAGATGGTTGTCCAAATAATCCTGTTGCTGGCGTAGTCGCTGTTGTTGTTGCCGTTCCAAACAATCCCGTTGGTTGTTGCGTTGACTGGCCACCAAATATACTCGTACTTCCAGTATTACTCGTTGTCGCCGTCGCGTTACCTCCAAACAAACTAGAAGTTCCTGTATTTGTCATAGTAGTCGCTGGTTTATTTCCAAAAATACTGGTGGTTCCGGTTGTTTGCGTGTTGGTGCCGCTAAGTGTTGCTCCAAATAATCCAGTTCCAGTGGTGGTTGTTGATGCCGGTTTGAACAAGGAGCTTGTTCCGTTTATTGGATGAGTCGTGAAACTTGATCCTGGACCGTGTGTTTCGGACAACGATTTCATTGCAATTTCCGCCAACGGTTTTTGTTTCCCTACCAAAAAAAAAGTGTTTAAAATCGTTAACAATGAATGAAAAAATGGTTGAAGGAGCGTGAAAATTACCTGAGCCAACGGACCCCTTATAAAAACTCCTGGCAAATTGATTCTGTGGCTCGACTTTTTGGTACTGCTCACATAATCTTTCAATCGCGTCATGGTTCGCAGCTACTTTACTGGCGATCATTAAAAGCGATTCATGTTGTGTTTTCATTACGTCGTGGATCACTATTTGTAAAGGGGAAAAGTTCGTTATGCGAAATGACCCGACGAGAATAATGATCAAAATAATTACCTTGAGGCGAGAAGATTTGAGATTGTTGGGCTTGAGTACACGAAGTAATATGTCTCTCCAATTCATCGATATTTTGTTTATATTGTTGGATTCTTTCTTCTAATCCACTCGCGACGTACAAGAAGAAACTATACTCACAAATGTTGAATAAAAGAAAAGGACATCAAAAATCAAATACTTCTCTGTAATATCACTGCCCGATACGAGTTTATTGTTGTACGGAGAAATTTTGTAGCGTTCAATGTATCTGGATGCAGTATCATTTATGCGTGCAAAGTGATCGATTTGACGTTTTAGATCGTTTATAGCAGTCCCGTCGCGTTCGAGTAAGTTGCGAAGACCTTTCATTTTCTATGAGATGGTTTTTTTTTTAGCACGAAAAGAGTTGTCAATGAAATTGCAGAGAGTTTATTCTCACCACTTGCAATTGGTTCGTTTCTTTTGTCGTCTCAGAAATATAGCTGTCTGGTTGATTTCCCGTTATCCATTCCAAAATATGAATCTGATCTTGAATATACTTTCTACAGAAATAAAACAATTCGTTAAAAAAAAACAATTTCCGAATAATTTAGTAAAACAGTATTACTCAATTTCATCGATCTGCTTTCGAACGTTTTCTGGAAGTTGTGAGTATTTCGTTGTGTTTGTTATCTCCGTCGCGGCTTGTTGTGGTTGGCGCGAGGTTGCGGAAGTTCCCAATCTACAATTTATAGCATGTAATTCAAAGACATTTACGAAAAGAAAAGGCTATACCCTGTGCCAATGGTAGTATTAGGTTTTGCAGTGGTAGTTGTTCCCATTGAAGGAAAGAAAAATGTCGACGGTTGGGAAGTTGCGGTTGTTGTAGCGGCCGGATTTGGAGCTCCAAACGAGAAAGTTGGTGCGGTGGAAGTTGAGCTTTGAAAAAAAATGAGAGAGTTTATATTTATGTTTATTGTTGAATCTCGTTTTGGAAATTCTCACCCAAACATTTTTGACAGACAATTTAAAAGGCGTAACTTGCCCAAAACCTGTTATTTATTAAATTTTAATATAGCTCTAAATAAACAAAATTATTCAGACTGTGGCATCTGGTTTCGTGGTGTAGTTGGTTATCACAACCGCCTAACACGCGGTAGGTCTCCGGTTCGATCCCGGACGAAACCATTTTTCTCTTTTTTGACTCAAAGCGAATGCATTGCTTCTTAATTCGACATTTTGTGCATTTTTTTTGGATTTGGGCGCGATTTTTTGCGAGAAGGGAACGTGTATCATTGTTTTGCTTTTGGGGCAAGATTGTGGCCATTGTGCGACATAAGATCTTTTTTTTAATCAAACATGGTTTTCTCCGACATTGACTCTCTTGCCATCAACACCATCAGAACTCTCGCCCCTGATGTGGTCCAGAAAGCGAACTCCGGTCACCCCGGTGCGCCAATGGGTTGTGCTCCGATGGCTCACGTTCTTTACAGTCGTTTCATTAAGAACAACCCTGCAAACCCCAACTGGGTAAGTTAAATAATGCGCTATTATCATCAGCAATTTAATATGCTCACAATTATTATCGCGGATTTTCTCATTTTAGATTAACCGAGACCGATTTGTCCTTTCCAACGGACACGCTTGCGCTCTTTTGTACATCATGCTCCACCTCACCGGACATAATGTATCAATGGACGACTTGAAACAGTTCAGACAAATGCACAGCAAGTATGTTTTTGTGTGGGAACGATTTTGTTTTTTTTTCGGATGGTTAATTTGTACTTTTTTTTATGAAGAACTCCTGGACACCCTGAAGCCAACCACGGAGTTACCGGAATTGAAGTTTCAACTGGTCCCTTAGGTCAAGGTATTTCCAACGCGGTTGGTTTGGCTATGGGAGCTGCACACATTGGAGCGACTTTCAACAAACCTGGATTCGAATTGGTTAACAACTACACCTACGTTATCACTGGTGATGGTTGTTTACAAGAAGGTGTTCAAGCTGAAGCTGTTTCTCTCGCTGGGTAATAATATCTAAGCAAATTTACTGGAGAATTATAAATTTTAACGTTCATTTTCAATATCGGTAGACACTTACAGCTTGGAAGTTTGATTGTTTTATACGATGACAACAAGATTACCATTGATGGAGACACCAACATTGGATTCACTGAAGATGTTTGCAAGCGATTTGAAGCTTGCGGATGGCACACTCAGGTCATTGAAAACGGTGATAACAACCCAGAGGCGATCGCTAAAGCTGTCGAAATCGCCAAATCCGTTACGGACAAACCATCTTTGATTAAGATTAGGTATTTTCTTTGGGATTTTTCCTGAATGAAGAAATGTTGATGTTTAACGATTGCAGAACCACCATCGGTTACGGTTCAAAGAACGAGGGTGAAGAAAAGGTAATGATTCGTAAACTCCTCTGTGTCAATTCTACTTATTTTCTATTTTCAAAAGGTCCACGGTGCTCCACTTGGTGCCGACGATATCGCTCAAGTTAAATCTAAATTCGGATTTGATTCTTCAAAATCTTTCCACGTCCCAGAAGAGGTGAATTATATATCTTGAATTATCAGATGCGCAAAGAATAACTTTCCTTGAAAGGTTTACGACTTTTACAAAAAAGTTCAAGCTGACGGTGCTGAAGCTAACAAACAATGGGATGCTTTATTCGCTAGCTACTCTGAACAATACCCAGAGCTTGTGAGTGAAGAAATTGAGTGTAATTTACCAAGTTCTCATTTTGTTTTTATAGGCGGCCGAATTCACCAGACGTTTGAAGGGAGAACTCCCGGATCTTTTGAGCATCTTACCTAAATGGAAAGTCGGAGATGCCGCAGTCGGAACACGGTAAGAGATTTCTCTACCTTATTCATTAATATTATACTAAATCGTCCGCATTTCAGAAAAACGTCAGAAACCGTTTTGATTGCTATTGCGGACAAACTTCCAGAATTAATTGGTGGTTCTGCTGATTTGACTGGTTCAAACTACACGAGATGGAAGACTGCCGTAGATTTCCAAGCTGTATGCAACATTTTATCTGTCAACGTTCACTTTGTTAATTTTTGAAAATCAACAGCCATCCACCAACCTCGGAACATACGCCGGTAGATACATTCGATTTGGTGTTCGTGAACACGGTATGGCTGCTGTCTGCAACGGATTGTCGGCCTACGGAGGAAACTTGATTCCATTCGGAGCCACTTTCCTCAACTTCATCAGTTACGCCCTTGGATCCGTTCGTCTCAGTGCTTTATCCAAACACCAAGTACTGTACATTATGACCCACGACTCCATCGGTCTCGGAGAAGATGGACCAACTCACCAACCCATCGAAACTCTTGCAGAACTTCGTGCTCTTCCAAACCTCCACGTATTCAGACCAGCTGATGGTAACGAAACCTCCGGTGCATACTACTCCGCACTCACTCACCGTCACACTCCAACCGTTATGGCATACTCTCGTCAAAACTGCCCTCAACTTGAAGGAAGTTCCATCGAAAACACTCTTAAAGGAGCTTACGTTCTTCCATCTCCAGACGAATATGCCGTCATTTTGGTTGCCACTGGATCTGAAGTAGCGATTGCCATCGACACGCAGAAGTACTTGAAAGAAAAATTGAACATCGCCGCGCGAGTTGTTTCTTTCCCATGCTGGGAACTCTTCGAAGAACAAAGCCAGGAATACAAAGAAAGCGTATTCCCACAAGGAAAACCAGTTGTTAGTTTGGAAGTTATGACTACCCTCGGATGGCACAAATACGCACACTACCCGATCGGTATTGACACCTTTGGAAAGAGTGCTCCCGCCAAGGTTTGTTGAGACTGTACACACATGTTACTGATTTGATGATTAACTCATTGTTATTGTGATGGTTTTTATAGGAGGTATACAAATACTTTGGATTCGTTCCCGAAGCGATTTCAGAAAAGGTTGTGAAAGTTATTGAACACTACAAGACTGTCACCCCGGAATGGAAGATTAAGCCATTGATTGCTTAAGCATGTTGAATTTTTTTTGGTTGTGTCATTTTTGGAGGGATTTATTTGATCCTCATTGTTTTTTTCTGAATTCCATTAATAAAGTTTTTTTTCTTTGATGAATTTGGGAATTTTAAATATTGCAGATTCAAATTCTCTTAATCGTAGCTCTATTATTTCCTCAGCTGCTTACGCGCAACTCTGTAGGCCCGTTTTGCATCATCAACAGAGATACCACAATCTGTTGAAACCCAGACTTGTCGTCCATTGTTACAAGCAATATAAACATCTAGTCCATATCCATACGGGCTCCTGAAATTCGTCACATGAATGCCCGCAACGAATAAATAAACTCAAGTTGGTTCCTCATATGAAGTTGGATTTTGTTAATGCGGGAATTGTCGGATGAGGTCAACCATACTCTTTGATAGAACTGTACAGTAAAGGCAATTTTTTTCGCCCTGGCATTGCAGATAGAGATCAAACGTTACCAGTCGAGGTTGTTGGGGAAGTGCAGCGAGTAAGCTTTGGAGGCTGACCGTGTGGTTTATGTAAAAACTAATAGTTTTGAGACATTTAAAGCGCATTTTTCTAAACGGCAACATCCCGTCCGGAGAATGAAGCGTAGAAACGTTCAACCTAACCGATTTGAGAGACTAAGCTCCTAACATGGACTCCAGAAACTCGTTCACACACTCATTGTGCACGTTTATCGCGGGCAACGTTTTCAAATCCGTCCAGTGAGCCAAATTCTCACAAAACGGCAAGAAATCGTCTTTGTTTTCAAACCCAATTTAGTCGTCAAACAGATCCCTGAGATCACCGATTCGTAATTCTCTTAAAAGAGGAATAAACTGCAATGGTACTCTATCCAATAAAAAGAAACTCATAGCGAACGATTTAAATGTCAGTCGTCGTCGTTGCCCGTTCTGAATTCACGATCGTAAATAACGAGGACTTTCCCATTTCGACGAAATACGCAGAAAAAGATATAAAGACACTTGAGAAGGGAATTTCGAGTTTGGTGAAATTACGAGCGTTTAGATTTTATTACGAGTGCGCCGAAGATTCAATGCTCACACCTTTGCGTCATACAATTATTGCTGGATTGCTCAAGTTGAAAAGTCAGTCGGATTATGTCAAATGCTCTGTCTGCAAAGAATTTGTGAAGCTATTCGAACGAATGATTACCTCTTTTCCATTACGTAAACTTTCACTGTTCATCGCTGGAAAAGATGTTTCTGAAATCAATTTTCTCGTCAACTCCGTTTCGAGCGTGTTAAAAACGTGCAAGTATCTTTGCGAGCTTGAATTGAATGACATAACCAACTTAAACTCTGGAATGACTGAAACAATTTTGGAATCGCTTTTTCCAAACGAGCATCGTCAACACCTAATCAAATCGCTTAAAATGGATTTTTTGGAATTGAAAAGAATTTTTTTACGTCTTTTATCTCTTTTGCGAGAACTGCAAGTCGAAAATCTCCGCTCCATGTTTGAGAATCGAATCGCGCTTGCGAGAAAAGACGATTTCCTGTAATTTTGCGATAATCTCAGTATCTGGCGTGACCTGAAATTCTTACCGGCGATTAAAGTACACAAACGCGATGTTGACGATTGAGAAAATGGATCTGGAGCGTCTTGAAACTTGGTTTCATTGTAAACGAGATTGTTGATACTGCCAGTTTGTTCGCCGTGCTTCCGCGTCAACCACGCCTCCGGAATGTTTATATCACTATTCAACGAGCAACAGATAATCGCTGTTCGTATACGCGTCAACTAAAAAGACTGGTTGATTTGACTTTAGCAATATGCAGATCAGAAAATTCTCGATTCGACATGATTGATATTCGAACTGGAACCCAGGAGGAATTTTATTTTTGGCTCCTTCATAAACTAATATTGGAGGACGTTGAAATTATTGGGTTGGAGATGTAAGACGAATGGTGTGTTGTGGGTGAAATCGGAGCTGGTGTTCTTGTTTCTTGTGACGATACGAACGGATCATGGAGATTCATACTGACTGCAAGATTCCTGTTGAGGATGCGGACGAAGCTTTCGAGATTGCATCGATGGAACTTGGAAGAGGAAAAAAGTATTTTGCGCGAATTTTCTTTGTTGATCTTAGCAAATCTGTCAAAGCCCATTTGACTCCATTTGGAAATAAAAGGAAATAATTAAAAGAAGAATTT